AAGCACCCAGAAAATACAAGATTGCTAAGTACACAAATAGAGCTTATTTATAAAATAATAGAAACGCCCTTGGGGGAGTCACAAAAAAGCGTACTAAAACAATCCGTCAACCGATGACAGTCAAGGATTTCCAAGTGAAAAATGTAAGCTGTAGGTCAACTAAGTGTCTCTTGGCGCAAAAACATAGAAATTCAAAGTTTCAATAAAAATAAATTACAAAATTAGGACCTTTTAACGCGTGAGTTCTGGGGGTCTAACATCTGCGACGGTTAATTATAAGTTTTGATCTATGTGTATAGTTGAACTAAACTACAGAAAAATCGACACATTTTACTTACGCCTAACTTACACAAGAAATGTATACGTAAACACTGAATTAGTATTAAACGCTTATCAACAGAAATTGGAATGCGATATTGATTTTCTGACGGATATATGTACAAGTAAAATATTCTTTCGTCTAAAGGTAATGTATACATTTATTCGAATAGGTACACATCTCTTAGTTGTTTCGTCATGAAAAGTTTGTAAATTATTGGTGTCATCACGAAGTTGTGAACTAAGGTGATATAATATTATCGTCGATACTTGATTTCTAACAGTACCCTTAAACTGATGCTAGTTTGTAATAAAGTTTCTATCATAAAGGAATAGTTTATCTTCCAAATTCATTGTTTTATCGAAAGACAGTCCATAGATGAGTGAAGCGAAGTGAAGGAAGTGAAGTGAAAGAAGCGAATGTGGAGCTTAATTGTCTAAACCATCAGACGAAGCAGATTATTACGTTGTAGTGCCTCCACATATATTTCACTTCTCTCACATCTAACTTGGTTAAGCCTTTCGATTAGTTTATTTAACCAAGCCATTCGCTTAGCAACAACTTGTATGTACAATTGGTATTTTTTATTATCTGGTTTGTATGAGCTAGTATGACTGAGCATTGCTTAACGCCTACGCATATATGCATCCTATTCGCTTTAATATTAATCTCTTAAATAACACGATGACTCAGACATTTTCCTTTGTATATATACGAACATTTTTATCTTATTAATTAATTCGCACATTCGCATATTCACTCGCTAGTCTGTCTGCCCGGTCTGTCTGTGGTCTGCTATTATTAATTGTGGTGTGCTTCAATAAACGTATACGCTACTTGGAATTCATCTTCTGATTTATTAACCGTCAGACGTCAATTGGATAAGGTAGTCTGAACGAGCTTATCACGAAACGTAAGAACACGCATTAAGCCGGCACACCTCAACGTAATCAGTAAGATTAATTTATGTTAGTAGTGGCGACATATTTATTCGAAAGAACCTCAATAAATATTTGGTAATAGTCAATCCATGTGCATAAATAAACTTAACACTTAACCTCTCAAAGTAGTTAAAGTAAGGAATTAAGGTGAGATGAATATTATAACGGTTCTTATATTTTTCTAAGTGGATATAACAACTTAAATTTATACGTTTAGAAGGTGACTTCGATTAGGTCATTAGTCAAACTGCTGACTTACTAAAACTTCCAGAAATCTCATCAAATTTATGCTGTTACTATTAGATATTATTGAGAAGGATGAGGCAGGCTTGATAGATTGTATTTGGCAAATTTACACTCTTAGTCAATTAAAAACGACAACATTACATTGAACACTCTATTTGCACACCATCTTTGAGTCGTGACTTTCAACACCCCATCCTTCTTCCATTCCTGTTGCTGCCTCCTTCCCTTCCTGTTGGTACTCTATTTACTTCTTGCTTTTGTTCCATTTGCTTTCCGTTTTCCTCTTGTGACCGTGAGACTTCTTCTTCCACGTCCCTTCTTATACTACTTATATCGTTCGTATAAGTAGCACACACCACAATATGTGGCTTCATTAATTAATCTTTACTGATGTTGCTGTATAGGTCACTTTTAATCACTCAGTTTTATCTATCAAATGTTATCAATTAACAGATATACGGTATTATTCACCTTGGTAAACAGTTTTAAGCTAATTAACAGTATAAAACATGTGAAAAATGTAATTAAGTTTGCATTTAGGTAAACAATTTTAGCTACCCTGATCAATGGCTTATATAATTTTTTTGTAATAAATGGATTCAGTGTTTCTTGTGATCGAGCGAGAGATTTGAGTTTTGTTTTATAAATCTAATTCAGTTAACTGATGTAAAAATATTCACATCAGTTAACTGAATTAGATTTATAAAACAAAACTCAAATCTCTCGCTCGATCACAAGAAACACTGAATCCATTTATTACAAAAAAATTATATAAGCCATTGATCAGGGTAGCTAAAATTGTTTACCTAAATGCAAACTTAATTACATTTTTCACATGTTTTATACTGTTAATTAGCTTAAAACTGTTTACCAAGGTGAATAATACCGTATATCTGTTAATTGATAACATTTGATAGATAAAACTGAGTGATTAAAAGTGACCTATACAGCAACATCAGTAAAGATTAATTAATGAAGCCACATATTGTGGTGTGTGCTACTTATACGAACGATATAAGTAGTATAAGAAGGGACGTGGAAGAAGAAGTCTCACGGTCACAAGAGGAAAACGGAAAGCAAATGGAACAAAAGCAAGAAGTAAATAGAGTACCAACAGGAAGGGAAGGAGGCAGCAACAGGAATGGAAGAAGGATGGGGTGTTGAAAGTCACGACTCAAAGATGGTGTGCAAATAGAGTGTTCAATGTAATGTTGTCGTTTTTAATTGACTAAGAGTGTAAATTTGCCAAATACAATCTATCAAGCCTGCCTCATCCTTCTCAATAATATCTAATAGTAACAGCATAAATTTGATGAGATTTCTGGAAGTTTTAGTAAGTCAGCAGTTTGACTAATGACCTAATCGAAGTCACCTTCTAAACGTATAAATTTAAGTTGTTATATCCACTTAGAAAAATATAAGAACCGTTATAATATTCATCTCACCTTAATTCCTTACTTTAACTACTTTGAGAGGTTAAGTGTTAAGTTTATTTATGCACATGGATTGACTATTACCAAATATTTATTGAGGTTCTTTCGAATAAATATGTCGCCACTACTAACATAAATTAATCTTACTGATTACGTTGAGGTGTGCCGGCTTAATGCGTGTTCTTACGTTTCGTGATAAGCTCGTTCAGACTACCTTATCCAATTGACGTCTGACGGTTAATAAATCAGAAGATGAATTCCAAGTAGCGTATACGTTTATTGAAGCACACCACAATTAATAATAGCAGACCACAGACAGACCGGGCAGACAGACTAGCGAGTGAATATGCGAATGTGCGAATGAATTAATAAGATAAAAATGTTCGTATATATACAAAGGAAAATGTCTGAGTCATCGTGTTATTTAAGAGATTAATATTAAAGCGAATAGGATGCATATATGCGTAGGCGTTAAGCAATGCTCAGTCATACTAGCTCATACAAACCAGATAATAAAAAATACCAATTGTACATACAAGTTGTTGCTAAGCGAATGGCTTGGTTAAATAAATTAATCGAAAGGCTTAACCAAGTTAGATGTGAGAGAAGTGAAATATATGTGGAGGCACTACAACGTAATAATCTGCTTCGTCTGATGGTTTAGACAATTAAGCTCCACATTCGCTTCTTTCACTTCACTTCCTTCACTTCGCTTCACTCATCTATGGACTGTCTTTCGATAAAACAATGAATTTGGAAGATAAACTATTCCTTTATGATAGAAACTTTATTACAAACTAGCATCAGTTTAAGGGTACTGTTAGAAATCAAGTATCGACGATAATATTATATCACCTTAGTTCACAACTTCGTGATGACACCAATAATTTACAAACTTTTCATGACGAAACAACTAAGAGATGTGTACCTATTCGAATAAATGTATACATTACCTTTAGACGAAAGAATATTTTACTTGTACATATATCCGTCAGAAAATCAATATCGCATTCCAATTTCTGTTGATAAGCGTTTAATACTAATTCAGTGTTTACGTATACATTTCTTGTGTAAGTTAGGCGTAAGTAAAATGTGTCGATTTTTCTGTAGTTTAGTTCAACTATACACATAGATCAAAACTTATAATTAACCGTCGCAGATGTTAGACCCCCAGAACTCACGCGTTAAAAGGTCCTAATTTTGTAATTTATTTTTATTGAAACTTTGAATTTCTATGTTTTTGCGCCAAGAGACACTTAGTTGACCTACAGCTTACATTTTTCACTTGGAAATCCTTGACTGTCATCGGTTGACGGATTGTTTTAGTACGCTTTTTTGTGACTCCCCCAAGGGCGTTTCTATTATTTTATAAATAAGCTCTATTTGTGTACTTAGCAATCTTGTATTTTCTGGGTGCTTGTAGAATACACTCTCTACGCCTTATCAAGACTTCTTGATCTAGTTATCAAGACCTGGGACAAACGGATTAGTATAGCCTATCGTATCACTGCATCATTTATCTTCACTCTCGTTTACCGACTAAGGTGAACTCACAATAGTTTCAAGCATATCAATTGACGAGCTTATCATTCACATAATTACGAAGATCAAATTTTGAACGAAACGATGGATGCTAATCACAACGTGATATACAGCGACGTATTGCCTAGAAAATGCTACCAGAGAGGAATGTCTGAAGCTTGAACTGTTTGGCATGATCAGGATATACGTAAGATAAGACGAGATGCGAGAGAATAGGGTCAACAGCTTACTTGTTATCGCAAATTGATATCTGAAGATTATGTACGCAAAATATCTTATAAATTAAATTGTCTTTCCCCCCCCCCCCCAAACAAAAAATAGGTATTCGGTCTAGTTGTAAGTTCTGCATATGACTACAGTTGTTGTTTTCAAATCAAGAACTATGTAAAATCAATAAATACCCACCCATACACACACATACTAAAGTGAAAGAGAAGGAAGCAGATTACAATGTATGTTATTAATTAATACTAATAATAATAATTATTATTTTTATTATTGATTTAAAATATTTAACATAACATAATAATAGCCTTTTTATTTCAATGATTAAAAATTAATCTATTCTAAAATGAAGTATTATTGTATTAGTTTTTTTTAAGAAACAGATTTTCTTTCATACAATTTGAAATTAATAAAATAGAAAAAAAAGAACTAGATAGAGCATTGAACATTGAATTGAATTTGTGTGTTTACACATGGATCGATTATCACCAATAGTTTACACAACAATATAATTAATAAATTATGTTGATTGAATCATAACAATTTCATTCTATGAACTTTGAAGGAAGCATGTTTTACATATTAGTCGTAGGAACTTCAGTAGTAGTAGTAGTAGTAGTAGTACCATTTGTAGGCACTCCAGTTTGAATGCCAAACAATCTCGTCAGTAATCCAAGAATGAGCAAGTATAAACGATTTAAGAAACTATCATAATCATCATCATCATCATCATCATCATCAGGATCATCAGTGCGACCACTTTGACCATCATCGTCATCATCATCGTCATCATCATCGTCATCATCATCGTCATCATCATCGTCATCTGTTGTCCTGGTGGATTTTTTGTTCATTTGATCTTTTGAATTGTCTGTTGATGTTGTTTCCGACATCACCTGCTCTGGAAATATTAGATACAATGCGAAACACAACAACATAATCATTTTGATGAAGATCATCATGTTGATAAGTGAAAGTGTATCAAAGAGAGAACATGAATGCCTATATATATACATATGTATATATGTTATTTAAGTTGATGACGTTCGTGATTTAACATAGAATACATGTGATTAAAGAGTTGAAAAATCGAGTCAGTAAAGTTTTTAATTTATTTTTTTTTTTTTACATATGATTTAATTAGATCAGTGACATAAAAACACTTTGTAAATCCTTATTTTGACCTTAGACAATTTAGATTTGACCAAAGTTAAAATAATTTGATCAACTATTAGTTTGAGTTGATCATTCGATTAGATAATGTATGATAAGTTTATTTTTAATAAGAATAAAATGCTACAGTATTCAATATGGTCGAATACATCGTCTACTGGACGGTCAATGTGTGTTAGTATGGGATTCTTCAGCATTGCGAATCCATGAACTTACATGCATGAATCGAATTCAGGATCTTAGATCATGGATGCATACGAAATCTTGACCTTATGACCACTGGGCTGACATCCAACAGTGTCATTTATATTATTCTACCTTTCATAAATCCACCATATTGCGCGACCTGACCGATTGTGTTCGATGATTTACTAACTGCCTTACACACAATAATGTTGTAATCTACAGGTCATTGTTCTTGATGATTCCATCTTGAAGCTAGTCACTAGTGAGCACATGATAATTGTTATTATAAGATTCTGGATATTGTTGAGCCTTATTGAAATCATGAATCGATCAATGTTAGATGTCGGCTCAGTAGGTCAGAGGTTAAGTGTTCGCAGACTAGACTGGAGATCTTTTGTTCGATTACTGTGTGCAGTGTCTTGGATGAATCCTCCTGATGAATCTCATACTAGGACAAAACGGCCATCTAATACTTTCAACTATTAATAAACATATATCTTGTGGACGCTTGTTTTGGTGGTTTTCCCTCCAAATGTCATCCATATACAGTAGAAATATCACGACATTTGCGTTAAAAATTATGCCTTTTGATGTTTGATGACAGTTAATTTGAGTTCTAGATGTGATCTAATTTCAGAGATGCTCCCCTTACTTTGTCAATTCGAGCATTCACAAATACATCAGATCCACCTTGCTCATCAGCGATGTTGCACATATATGTAGAGGTTTTACATCATCCGAAATTTCGCCTATCAAGTGTGATTTAGTTGGTTCATGTTTTCTTATATCATAGGATCTTGTTTTTTTTCCTTTGTACTTACTATTTATGGTTAGATCTAAATTGAGTTACAGTTTACCAAAGCAAATCCATCCGTACTTGGCAGTGTTTCAGTCTCGACTTTCATTTTTAGCACCACTGAGCCATTTGACTGAGCTCTAAACTGATACAGTTTGCGTTATGTTCAGCTCATAAGTGGAGAATGAATGCGGCACTTTATGATCGTCTTCATATGGAAGAGGCTTACTTGCACAGAAGTAATGGGAAATATTATTTATGTCAGCTAAAAGGAGAAAGAAACCTAAGACACCAACTTGGATTTCTCCACCTTTGACAGGGACAGCATCCTATAAGAAGGAGTGTATTTTAACTATTTAATGTCGGTGACTAAAGAAAGAATAAAACTAATCAAGCAGTGGGTTTCAGATCCTGTAAGATATGAGTTTTCGCATAAGGAACTGGTGGGTAAAGACACTGAAAGCTTTAGAAATCTCAAGGAAGTATAACACTAAGACTAGGTGTCCTCAGTTACGTTGAGTCAAAGTGGTAGATCATACAAGATCAATTTCTAAGAAAGCTATGTTAGGCATAAGTGATCAGTCTCTCACGAGAGTAAACAGTCGAAATGTTCGAGCCAATAATTGTTAGTGTCAGTCTTATTTCCTTATTTGTGGCATGGAAGGAAATATGAAGTTTTCCAATAATTAAGGTAAGTACCCGTCTCTAGAGATAGAGAGGGAGAGAGAGAGTAAATAACTTCAGAAGAAGCACCATATTTAAAGAGAATGGACAGAATCCTGTCTACTCCATGACAGTTTAAGACTTTCTGGGAGGTATATTATCATGTTTTGTAGTGGAACGAATCGATCTTGATCAACAGTGAATTTTAACTGTTGCTATGACCTCATCATTCCCCTTGACTGACCATAACCGGTATTCTAGTTTATTTAAGGATAAGTGAAATCTACTGTAATGACCTGAATTGTGCTCTAATATATTGATTTCACATGGCTTCTTATCCCAGGCCTGGAACAAATTTATTAATCCATTCTTCTGCTGTTATTCACACGTCTTTTAACCTAATCAATTATTCGCCTATAACCTCGGCTGTTTATTACATCAGTGCGTATGTGCATTATTTGCTCCATTGATCACACATCAGGCTTGTTTTTTTTGGTCTGACTATAATAATAATACTGTGGTGTGCGCTACTTATAAGTAGTATATGACGTGAGTGTCAACGTAAAGTCTGGCAGCGGAAGAGGAGGAGAGATCAAGAAAGGAAGAGTTAGAAACCAATGCAATTTGTATGAAACGCATGAATAGTGACAATGGATTGATGTTTTGCAACAGGAACAGTCCAGTTCGATATGATGAACTGATGTTTTGCAAATGAATGATTTACGATATGGTTTTCCGATTTTACTGAGTTACTCTGTAATTTCGCTAAATAAAATTCGGTTGCCCCACCTGTGTTCTCATTCACTACAATACTTGTTCATATCTCATCACATCCCGTTGTCCCAACTCACCATCTCTGATTAAATTCACTTTGTTTCGCATTTTATTGTCTGTCTGCTTAAATAAATGCACGAAATAAAATCATCTGTCAAACCGTATTGAGCTTTTAATAACAACTGTTTCATAAACAGGGTTTACTTAAGAATGATATACGGAAATTCAAGGAAAGATTTATATCATAACATATTCACTCGTTCTTACAAATTGGAATCAGATACCGGACCATGAAAGACCTACGCATAGAAATTTAGAATAGATGCATGAATAATTACATTAGTAGAACGATTAGTCAAATTAATTGAAATGTCAGGTCCTCAATGAATACGCGAGATATTTCGGATCCGCTGACCAGACACCCTCAGCAACAACCTACTGAAAGAGATAACAAACCAGATTCCAGTGAAGGAGGAATTCAGGAAGAAGCACTCGGATGTGGACAGCATGCACATTTCGGAAAGCACCGAACTATGTCATTTGATAAACCCTTTCTTGGAACCCTCAAAGTCAAAGGAAAAGAGGAAGGTCAAAGAATACATTACGCCAATAAATCGAGAAAGACCCGAGAAGAATGAACGAAATTGGACAGAACTGGAAAGGGAGGCCCTAGTCGGTGACCTATGCTCGATTGAGGGTGACAGTCGTTAGTGTGGATAAAATCCGATAGCGTCCTTATTAACATTATACATTTTAGTGATGAAAAGACTATGGTTTGATTTGGGTCCCTGATATTATAGGCTATGACTTGAATAAAATGTAGGGACACTGGAACCACGAGCATCTATGCACCAAACGAATCGTTATTATGCTAACGTAAACAAATCAACTGAAACTGATCTGACAGAGAGTCAGAGAAAGCCAACTAACTGCTAGGGTTGAGTGTATAGTACTTACCCTAGTAGTAGTTAATTAGCGAACTTATTTGGATAGTTATTGTTTACAAATTCTATACATAAAAAGTTTACGTTCAAGCTTGAGATATATCGGTTTCTTCGAATCTGTTTACTAATAGGTTTGTTTACATTAAAGTTGCGGTAGGCGTTTAGCGTATCCGTTACATAAAGTATATTACTGGCTGATTTCCAATTTGGGGCGATGAAAAGTCATCTACTAATCGTATGTTAGGCTGTGATGATGATATAATGTGTTGACTTGTTGTTGGATGCCCGTTCATAAAAATCTCTCCTATGGTTAAAAAGATCAAACTTGGTGTTTGGGAATCTATTTTTAGCTTTTTCTCTCTTATTTTTAGTGTGATAGCTTACACAAGACATGATATTCTTCCAATTAAACTGAGGTAAACAATACAACCTGGAATTATCTCATAACTATGTACATCCTCCATAAACGTGACTTTTGTCTAAATTATTAATCAAATCGGTTTGTAAATCAGTCAATAAATGAATCATAGTTTCGACTACGGTCATATCACTTCCCAGAGAATCAACATCCACTTGTACAAGTCAGTCTTTTATATTCTAACCTCATGTCATGGCAGTTCATGTGGTCCCTTATTTCACAGTAACAGTAATAAGACGACAACACAGATACACTGAATAACATACTGGTCATACTGGTTCACTGAAGAATTCATCATCATCAAAGGATCAAAAAGTACAAGTTGAATAGAATAAATTTATTGTATTGATTGTCTTTATCAAAATATTTCAGTGCAAATTTATTAAATGAGCTAATCATTGACAATAAACAAACCATCTACATAAAACAATTGAAAATGCTAATCAATGTGGTACATTTAACATAGCATAATTGAACAATGAAAATGATGAATTACATACGAAAATAATATGGATTATTGATAAAAAAAATACGTTAGTTCGTTGATGTATACGTAAAAAATCTTTTCAACAAAATACACCAGTTTGTTTGACTGATGTAATTAAATGAATATCGTGAACTTCATGAAGCTCATTTCAAGATTGCGTAGTAACATTGGTATCTGGAGTTTGTTCTTGTCCAAAGGAAAACAAGTTTTGGATAACCCAGTAAATAAGAGTTATAAGGAAACTGAGAAAACCTCCATCATCGCACTCGTCCGATTGTGAATCCTGCTCAGTAGTCGTCGTCATCTCAGTCGTTTCGTTCATATTCTTCGTTTCACTTGATACTTCGTCTATTCCTTCAGTAACTTGATCTGTCAGGTTGTTTGATGGTGCTGGTTCCGACGTCAACAGCTCTTGACACACCAAACATTGTGCCAAACACAACAACATAATCATTTTAACGATCATCATGTTGATGAATGTTGTTTAGTGAAAGTGTACAGGAGAGAATATGAATGTCTGTTGATATATATATATATATATATATATATATATATATATATATATATATATATATATATATATATATATATATATATATATATATATATATATATATATATCATTTTGTTGATGACGTTCGTGATTTGACATAGAATACGTGTGATTGAAGATTTGAAATGGAGTCAACAAATTCTCTGATTCAGTTAATAATCGGTCAATTTTAAATGAAACGTTTACAGTTTTTAATATACACTAGTCTTAGTTAAACAATCATTTAAAAACAAGAAACTCTGGAAATCATTCTCGCCATCATATACATCTTCTCAGTCTTCCGCATCCATACTTCCATCTTGGATCCCATCCATTATCATGTCAGGGGATGTGATAGATTTACTCTCCTCAACTGGTGACTGACATTTCAAAACAATATGATATCAGGAAATTGTTTTTGAAATTTGGTCTTATCTGCCATCATATGACGGTTGTCAATAGGTGATATGTTTTAGTTAGATTATCGTATTATATACGACATCTGAATATCATGAATATCATACTAGTAGTGGTTAGTAGTAGTCGTAGTATTAGTAGTAGTAGTAGTAGTAGTAGTAGTAGTAGTAGTAGTAGTAGTAGTAGTAGTAGTAGTAGTAGTAGTAGTAGTAGTAGTAGTAGTAGTAGTAGTAGTAGTAGTAGTAGTAGTAGTAGTAGTAGTAGTAGTAGTAGTAGTAGTAGTAGTAGTAGTAGTAGTCGTAGTAGTAGTAGTAGTAGTAGTAGTAGTCCTTA